GGAAGGGTCCTCTCTCTTGAGCGGCTGACAGGGTTTTCTCTTTGGCCATACGTGTGTTTCCCTAGGTCTGACCCAGCTCAGCAACCTGCTCCCGGGGCCCCAGAAGGGGGAACCCCCGGTGGGGGAACCCCCGGTGGGGGGCCCCCCGGGCCACCCCCCAATCTGAGCAGTAACCGTCGGCTGCAGCAGACGCAGGCCCAAATGGAGGAGGTTAGTAGCTCTGCCAGCCGTGCTGGCTTCCCGTAGGCTGCCTGGACTTTTCTCCTACCGCTCTGCAGCAGCGATGTTCTTGACAAGCATCTGTTGCTGAGGGGGTGGATGTTCTTGTCATGCCAATACCAGAAATGCATTAATAATCAATTATCAAATTATGATGGCAGACCTATGAAGAGGTTGGAGGAGAGATAGAATTGCTTTGTGTTTAAAAGCTGCTTAATTCCAGATACAACTTCTAAGGAGAAGGCCTGTTAGATTTTTGATACCTTGTATCCTGTATCTGGTATGGAAATAAAGCTATACAGCAGCTTTAGAGAGAGAACAGCTCTTAATCCCTGCCTGCTGCTTCAAGGGAACAGTCTGTGTGCAGGCTCAATGTGCGGGGAACCTTGCCTGACTACTTCTCAGGGTCAGTGTCTGTAGCGTGGCTGCTGGCATGCAGTAACGCCGTTGTGCCTCGCTGGGGCAGCAACATGTAACTCTAAGTTATCTTTGCAGTTATTGGGGAGTGAGCATATGATTACTCTCATGAGGGTGGTGGCTTAGGCTTGCTGGATTTGAGAGCTTTTAAAAAAGTGAGAATGTGGGGCTGAGGACTTGGTTTAAGTGTTCTTGAACTGATACTTTAATAGGGGGTCTAGGATTTTTTCCCTGCTTCAAAGTAGGCAATGACTTGAAAGCTGTTTCCTATCCTGACCTTTTTTCTTTGTTTAGGGCTTTCACTTGTTCGTATCTTAGTGTTAGTTATTGGCCAGCTTACTGCTCTTACTTTTTCAACTCTCTTTACCAATACAACTGCTGCTACTATTCTTCCTTCTGCAGGTGGTTGATATAATGCGTGTAAATGTAGACAAGGTGCTGAAACGAGATGAGAAACTGTCAGAGCTAGATGACCGGGCAGATGCACTTCAGGCTGGTGCCTCAGTATTTGAAAGTAGTGCAGCAAAACTCAAAAGGAAGTACTGGTGGAAGAACTGCAAGGTGAGTTTCCTAGTGCCATGATCTCCTTCCTTAGAAGGGGTTGGGCTAGTCTTCTCCTGCAGGGCTTTGAGAGGATAGTTGGGGCTTAATAACTATTTCAAACGCTAAGGATTCTTTCACTGTGGAAAGACTTTGAGACCTTGGCTGTCCTACCTTCAGGGTCTGGCGTATGTTCCCTGGCTGTCAGGGAAGATGTGAACTTGTCAATCTGTTTTGAGTATTACTTTTTTGACAATCTCTCTCTCCAGATGATGATCATGATGGGAGTGATTTGTGCCATTGTGGTGGTGGTGATTGTAAGTAAGTACTGAAAAGCCCAGGATCAAAGGTGAAGAAGCACCAACTCTTCTTTAAGTACTTTAAAAGAGTATTTTAAACTCTTCCTTTTTGGTTTGAGATCTGGAGGGTCTTGGTTGCATAAGTGTTAATTTCAGTCCTTGGGGAAGGGAGGTGGTGGTGCTGGAACTCCGATACTTACTGTAGAAATGGTATGCTTTACATAGTAATGAAAGGAATTGGGGGTGGCCGACATTGTAGAAATGGGAAATTCTGTCTGCCAGGTCAGGTAAACCTGTAAGTATGAGGGGTATTTACCCTGGAGTGGGTGGGTTGGCAAGTCCCTTCCCTGGTTGGGCATTTGGAGGTCTCTGGGGGACCTTTGGTGTAACTTGCCCTTTTGTTCTTTCCTTTTTTTCCCTATTGCTTTGTCTCCAGTCTACTTTTTTACTTGAATGTAGCTCCTTCAGTCTGCAAACTACTGTCCCCCTGTCACCTTGCCTGTCTCTTCTTGCCCCTGAATCTTGCCTTCCCTTCCTTTCCACCTAGCTTCTTCATTGATTTCTTTATTGGTTTTAATTTGTCTTCTGTATAGGACTCTGAAGCGCTCTACTGAATATGGTTAGACTCTTCAACAGCTGCTGCAGCTTTAGGGAGGGTCATCTGAGTTTAGAGGAAATGGAAATAGAGGAGGAGTGGGGAGCTATTGTTCCTGCTCTTCTGCAGGGAATTTTTGTGGTTTATTTTTGGGTGCGAGCTTGTCAAATAGTGCCTGTATGGACTCTAGCAAAATACGAATGCCTTAATGCAGTGCCTTTGGGGATGAAGGACTTCAGCATGTGAGATTCTTTAGTGTTCTGCCTAAAAAGAGTGGCAGCATGACTTAAGCTTTTCATTGAGCTCCTGAAATAAAGGCTAGTTTGTGTTGGTCAGTGACTGTGAGCCATCTGACTGAGCTGGATGTAGTCATCCAGATTTTTCTAGCCATGGAGAGATGAGCACTTAAAGAAACAATTTATTCTGCCTGTCCTTATTTTCAGATGACTTGCTGTCTGAACATGGCTGTGTCAGTTATTATAAAGGAGAACCTACATGATTACCTCAGTCAAGTACAACAGACTAAACACAGTTAAGTGAAAGGAGTTTTGTTACTATCTGAAAGGCATGTTTAGGAGTGCCTGAAGGAACTCCTGCCAGCAGGAACAAAAGACAAACAGTAAGGAGTCTGGTGGGGGGTGTCAAATATTTCTTTCATCTATGCAGACACAAGCCAGGACCCTGTGGGTTTCTAGTATCTTGTAGCTTTCTGGAAGACTTTGGGGTAGTGGCAGAGTGGGAGTGGAAATGGGTGTTTTGCTTTTGTGTTACTGGGTTGAATGTCAAAGGAAGCCTACGACATAGCAGATGGAGGTGGAGGAGACCGGAGGTATTTCAGATGAGACTGAACGAGCCACGCAGCTTTCAGATTAAGGAATACCTCTTCTGTTTCTGTTACCACAAAGCCCTAACTTTCAGCAGGAGTTAGAAAATACTCAGAATGGTTAGCTAGGGATTCAAAGGGAAATGCTGCTCTGGGCATGGGTATTGCAAAGTGACATCAGATGTCCCAGTTCGGCAGCTTGGATCTCTAGAGATCTTGCCTATCAAACAGAAATCCTCCTACATGCTACGGGTTCTCTTGAATTTAGATCCAAGATGGTCTCTGCTGGAAGTAAACTTGCAGCATTGAATGCTGTGGCTTTCTGTAAGCAATCTCCTTGTTCTCCTTCAAAAATAACAAGAGCCCTGAATTGCTTGAATGTGTTGTCAAACCTGGGGTTAAATGAGCTGCCCTGTTCCTCAGTTTCTGCAGAGTCTTCTGAGGAATGTGCATCTTGTCTTTTTTTTACAGGCTGAGCTGTAGCCTGTAATCTAGACTGGAAAGAGGGCACTACTTTAATTTAGGAAGCTCTACCTCAGTTCTAGAATACACTGGGATCTGCCTAGGCTTAAGATGGTGGCAGGAGGCGGGGGAGAACATCACTGGAGTTCCCAGATGGGAGTGAAGTACAAAAGATGGGAGGAGCAGATGCTTTTTGTTTCACTGGGTGTGTTGGGGAAGCCCCTTTCCTCCTCACAGGGCATCTGGGAAGGGGCTAGGTTTTGCATGCTCACTTCCATGCCCCAGCATTTCATTTGCGCTGAGTTCATCTCCCTGCAATTCCATCCCTCTCCACCTTGGGTGAGGGCAGAGATGAAGATCTGGAGTGAAGCAGCCCTCGTCCCCTGAGCACTTCCCTAATTCCCTGTGGAACTGAGATGTGATGGACGGTCAGAAGTGCATCTACTGAAGAGGAGCCAGGGCCTGCTTGTACTACTTACTGCTATCATTTTAGGGGGTGGGCATACAAGCTTGAGGCCCCCAGATCAGCAATTCTCTTGAACTCTTCTAAAGAAGCCTTTGGTGCCCCATTCCTCCTGTTCCTCTTGGGGCCAAGGTCCCTCTAGGCTGTCTCTTCCATTTCTTTCTCTTAGATGTTGTATGTTGCCTCTGCTTCTGCTCTCCTTCCCCTCCTTTGTGTCTCTATGCATGGGCAAAAAAAAATCACCAAGGCCCTCTGGGTAAAAGCAAGGGACTCTGCTGTGCACAGCATTACAGCCACTCACGCACGTGCAGTTTATTTCCTTCCTCTATAAACACAACTGTAATCTCCTCTGGCATGTTATAGTAATCAGCTCATGTACTTTAAATAGTCTCTAAGAAACACAATTCACCACCTTACTGAGTCTGTCTGGTCTGTCAGTGGGTGGGGAGGGGTTGGGATACCAAACTCTTTTTGGAACTTTTTTTTTGTCACTCCCATACACACACCTGAAGTTCTGGCCCTCAAAGCAGTGGGTGGTCTTCTGTTGCAATGATGGGAGTTCCAGTTGTACTGGAACTGTGTGCTGGACTGACTCTGTGGTAAGTCTGTTACAAGATGTATGGACCAGAAGCTCTGGGTGAAGAGGCTGCCTAGTTCAACTCTACTTTTATCCACCAAATGTCTGGCCACTGTGTAATGCATGGGGAGGTAGTCCCCTGAATGGGAGGGTGTGTTGCTGATAGCTCTAGTTCCTCAGGCTGTGCTGCCTTTGGGTTTCAATAACTTATCCTCAGGTCCTTAAACCCAGAAAAAATTCTCCATTGGTGTTGGGACATGTGTTCATGATCCAAATGACCTCCAAGAGTAGGATGCTGTTCACAGCATATCTTGGAGCATGGCTGGAATAAAGGTAAGCGCTTCCTTGTTTTGCTTCACTGTACACTTGGGAACTCATTAAAAAGAAATGATGGAGCTTTGTCCAGTGCAGACTTATTTTAGAATGAGGTACTTGCCCTTCTATCTGCCCCTGCTGTTACAAACTTTAGGTTGTAAAACAGTACTCCCTGTGGCTTGTGATTACCTTATGACCAATCTTTGTCCAGCCTTAAACATCACCAAAATCGTACCAGAACAATGTATGGTCAATGGTGAACTGGGAGCAGTGCAGCTAGGCTAATTCTTTCAAAGATGAAAGCCTTCCTGGGAAAGGAGGGTGTCTGGACTGGCTGGTGGATTAAAGCAAGTCTAAACTTCAGGCCTGCACAACCTGAATGAACTAGTCATGCTACAATTCTTGCCAAGTTGTGTGTTGTCTTCCTGTTAGTTCTCAGCCTT